GGCCCACGTGCCGGGGGCTGTCTCATCTTGTGAGGAGTCGTGTGCGATAACGTCTGGCATGGGGGGGGGGGGGGGGGGGGGGGGTTATGTTAAACAAAGAATTAAATTGGTCTGGCCTTATGTCAAAATATATGTTAAGAATTTATAATCCGCAACTTTCTAAATTTTTTATTCTCACGCACTTGGTTTTTTGGGTTTGTACTGTATTACGCGCAAGTTCATTTTTATTGGGTTACAGTCAGAGCCCAATGGCCATTGAGATACATTCGGACTTCTTTTCTTAATGGATAGCCAAATTGCCAACCCTGGATCACAAGTCAACTATCCCTAAATGCAAACCCTTAAGTGCAAATTCATTCTACAACTATTTTAATTAACCAATAAAATTTTGTTAAATTAAATTGCATTATCCTATCGGAATGAATTTTATAAGTAAGATTCTCTAATCTCACAGTTTGCACTTAAAGAAGGTTTCATTGTATTTTACAGTATTTCTAAAGCATTGTTACACAACCTTTTGATATTATGTAATAGAATTTTTAGCCTGAAATAAATAAATAAATAAATTTCATAAATATTTGGGATCAGAATAACGATAATTCATTTTTAATTAGAAATGATTTCGACGATACCAGTATAGTGTAAAATGACTAATTGGAAAACCCGATATAGAAATTTTTAGCCAATCAGAAATCTTTTTGATTAGCCACTTCCATTATGATTCGGTAAAGAACGAATAAGTAAATTTTAGACGAAATTAGATATACCGTGCTTCATCACATGTGCAAATATTTTTTGCTACGTATACGTATTGAATTGCGATTTCATAACAATATATCTTTAATAACAATATATCTGATACATAACGAACAAAAATCTCCAGAACAGCCAGTTAGAGTTAGAGATTGGAATAGATGAATTTAGGACGTCATTCGTCTTAAATTCTGAGTTTTCTTCTAGCATCAAGTTTCAAGTTTCTCAATCAGATCGATCGTTAATAGTTTATTGTTCTGGGACATTCTAGGCAACTTTCCACATGATTCTCAATACAAAATAAAACTATTGTTCACATGTCTGAATTTAATGAGTTATGATCGATGTTCAGTGAATGTTCGATTAAAGAAAAAACATTGATCGATGCTAAAACTTGCTCGGTAAAGATTATTCATCGATTCTATAGAAAAACCTTATCGTTATAGATTGATAAATTGTAAATTCTTAGACTAGATTAATAAATACTATATATACTATATACTAACTGATACTTAACTGTTACTAACTGTTAAAACTTGAAATAATGGCGTAAAATGCTTCTCAAATTTTCCAGATTAAGAATTAAAATCCCTAACGCCCTCCTCTTCAAATAAAGGAGGGGATACTTATCGTTATGTACCATTTGACTAACTACTTCGGGATTAATTAGGATACATGGGGTGGGAATCTAGTATAGTATGGTTCCATGTATGGTTGTTAATGGAGCACTTCATTGAGCACTTTGGAATAGGTATCAAGTGTGTTCCGTTAAATAACTTTAGATAGAAATGGTCATAGCATACCCCCGATATTGTGTGATTATAATTTAGTTATTTAGTTACAGTAATATAAAAAATTATGCCGATATGGGAATTGTCTAAAGCCAGCCAGGTATATAGTAATTGATTATCAATAAATTCGGAAATTATTGGAATTATTGAATTTATTATTATTAATAATAAATCCAGTTCTGGTTTATCATCCTGGTGGTTTTATCGTGGAATCTACTTGATCCGTGTAACGGGGAGTAAATGCATATTTTTTAAAAAAATCGGAAATTTTTTTTCTATCCACTTAACTTTAAAAAATCTTTGACATCAAATAAATTTATATTATCCATTTTGAACAATGTATGTAAGCCACCGCAAAAAGAATTTTCATACGCGTCGAAATTGTCTAAATTGAATTAGATATCATAGATTACTAAATATTATAAAAGGGATTAATTAAAATGAATTTTCTCTATATAAAATTTAGATTATTTTAATTCACAATATTTATTTTTTCTTCTTGTCAGAGCGAGAGTTTCCGTTCATTGAACTTCTCGATAAAAAATTTTCCTGCGGTGATTTTATTTGTGATTAATGTCTACACACGAAAGCTTTCCCATAGAAGAAACCACACCATTAATAGCAGGAGAGGGAGGCGAGCCCGAAATTGATTTTTCAAAGTATGGATGGTTTGCTACCTTTCGAAGGTCAAGGGCCGCGGTAATGTGTGTCGCTTCCATGGCTCTTTTTACGTAAGCTGTTTTTTTTTTTTTGAAATAATTCATAATTTTAGATATACTATTTCATTAAAACTAATGTTTTGTAATACATGTTAATAGAGACATGCTCGTATATGGAATAATAGTCCCCATACTTCCCTTAATCGTTAAAGAGCGGCTTGGTATGGACTCGACGTACACTGGACTGCTTTTTGGGTGTTATGGTACGAAAAACTTGGCTTTCTCAAACTCTTCAAATTTCAATTAATGGCTTTTTTTTTCTCATTCTTACACTCTCTTTAACGCGTATTTTTATTATTTCAGCTCTCGGTCTTTTAGTTTCGACCCCTATTTGTGCCGTCCTTAGCGATCGATATCATACTCGGAAGGTGATTATATTAGTTTTCTAATATTATTTTTTAAATGCCTCAATCTTATTTTATTTTTTTCTTAAACAGATTCCAATGATGATTGGAATGGCCGGTTTGAGTGCTTGTACGCTTTTGTTCGGTATTGCTAATTCGTATTGGCAGTTGATGCTGGCAAGAATTGCGCAAGGTGCAGCAGGAGGAGCATCCTGGTTTGTAACCTATTAAAATTTTAGATCTTTTCACAACTTATTTACATTATTTCTAACATAGGACTGTCACCTTGGCCATGCTGGCTGATCGATTTGGAACCGGTCCTAAACTTGGGGTCGTTATGGGAACAGTTCTATCTGCTAATACGTTAGGTTTTATTAGTGGTCCTGTAATCGGTGGTGTTCTGTACCAATACTGGGGATACTCTTCTCCTTTCATTTTCTGTTCTATACTTGCATTGTTTGGATTTTTGACTGCATGCACCATTGTCGATCCAATTAAACTGAAAGAATGGGATCTAGCAATAAGTAGACGAGATGGAAACTTAGATGATCCACCAGCTTATTGTGAAGTAGAGCCAGACTCTACCAATCCTCTTTCAATTTGGAATTTAGTTAAAGATTGGGAGATTGTCTCGATTTGTTTAACGCTTACAATTGTAGCGAGTGTTTTTTCAGGTAATTTTAATTAAAAAAAAATTATATCTATGAACAAAATTTATCAATAGAATTGATTACTAATATTAAATAATAATAATTTCTTCCTTTGTAATCTCATTTAGCCATAGAACCCACCCTTCCCATATATCTCCGCCAAGAATTTGATGCTAACCCATCTGAAATTGGTTTCGTTTACATCACAGTAGTGATTCCAACTTTTTTGTCACCATTCTTTGGTTGGTTATCATACCGCATTGGACAGCGGTTAATGTGTGGTATTGGAGTAATATGGATAAGCGTCGCTTTACCGCTGATTGCTTTGCCAAACAACTTATGGTTAGAAGTTGGTCCATTATTGTTTTTCGGTGCGACTTATTCGATTATTTCCACACCGTCACTTCCACTGTTAGGAGAAAGAGTTAAAGAGAAAGGAGGTGGTGCGTACGGTCAAGTTTATGGACTTTGGAATATGGCATACAGTCTTGGAATGTTTGTAGGGCCAGCTGTTGCTGGCATTTTAATGGAGTATTATGGATTTTTTGGTACATTATGCGCGTTTTCAGCGTGTACTTTGATGATTTCACCATTTGTGTTTGTAGGAAATCCGTTCAAATATATTCCACTTAAACGCTTTAGATGCTTTAAGCGCTTTAATGATGGATATTCTAGCGTTCCACAATACGATCCTGAACTTGAATAGATATAAAAAAAAAGATTTTTGAACTTTTTGATAATATATCAGGTATACGGCAATGTACATACATAACTATTAAATTATAATTTCAGTTATTTTTTGCTGAATGTAATTATTTAATAGTTAAATAAATTGTGAATCTCAACTTTTATGTAAAATTTTGTAAAAAAAATAATTAAAAAAAGTTTTATTTTAGTTTTTTATAGTTTTTTATTAAAAGCTATAAAACTTAACACGGTTTTGAAAATATTTGATTTAAAGTTATATATATTTGCTTTTTATTACTATATACAGTATATATATATGTTAATTAAAAATTTAGTCTAGAATTCACTAGTCGAACAATAAAATTTCGGCAACCTATCTGCTAGCCGATAGGTCACATATAGGTCACCGAAATCCAGTATAATCCAGGCGATACGTGCCATACCAATAGCTCACCGATACTTGGCGCGTATCTGTGACCTATCAGATTGGCACGTATCGGCAAATTTCTGCAACCTATACATGGACTATCTACAAAAGATATCGGCTAGCATATATTGACATTAATCTATATGATACTTCCATTTACGCTACGTATCCACACATTTATATAGGTTTCTGCGTGTATATATAAATTTCGGCTTGGCATTTTTAAAGGTTTATATAGATTTTTATAGATCAGTTTGGGTATTAGCTAGCC